TTGGATAACAAGGAGATCAAACTGGTGAATCCTAAAGAAAATCAACCCTGAATATTCATTGGAAAGATTGATGCTGAAGCTGAAGCTCCAATAAACTTTGGCCATCTGATGCAAAGAGCCGACTCATTGGAAAAGACTGTCTGATGTGGGGGAAGATTGAGGGCAAAACGAGAAGGGGGCAACAGAGGATGAGATGGTTGGATGGCATCACTGACTCAGTGGACATGAATCTGAGCAAACAAATTCCGGAAGGCAGTGAAGTACAGGGAAAGCTGGTGTGCTGCAGTCCATGAGGTTGCAAAGAGTCAGACAGGACTTAGCTACTGAGTGACTGAACACCACCTCTGGACTAAGCACCTTGCTAAGAACTTTGCAGAGGTAGTCACTTAATCCTGTTAACAGTCCTATGAGATAAGTACAGGTTTCCTGCTTTTACAGATGGAAAAAACAAGGACCCAGGAACCTTAAGTAACTTGTCTAAAGAGACATAGTTGATGAGTGATGAGCTAGGCTTATAATCTAGATCTTTTTGACTTTAGGACAGATCCACAAAATTTTAAACTTTTTTTTTTTTAAAACAGTAATCTCATTACTGCTTTTCATCAAATCAGGTCTTTCCAATGATTTATTAATACTTTCTTCAATTGTTTGACAGCTTTCTTTTTAGTGGTAGCTATATGCCTATTGCTCTGTGCCTACCATCTATAGTTAGGTAGTTTTAAAATCTTTTGGCTAAGGTGAGGGGTTTTTGTCCAAGCAGAGTCTTATACTGAAGCACAATTGAGTATACCCAGTAACAGCAGAGTTGCTCTGGTTGAAGCTCAGAGAGTTTCCTGGAATTACTGATGGCTCTGGTATAGCAAGCTGTCTGTAAACAGAGGGAAAACGTCATTCCTCAAACATTTTGCTTATTTCCAGGCTGTTGTCTTTCAACATTTGTCACACTGGTGATTGGAATTTGTGTTAATTATCTATTTTATTTATTTATTGGCTGTGCTGGGTCTTCGTTGGTGCTTGAGCTTTTTCTCTAGTTGTGGCAAGTGTAACTACTCTCTAGTTACAGTGCCCAGGCTTCTTATTGCTGTGGCTTCTCTTGTTGTGGAGCACAGGCTTTCCGGCGCACAGGCTTCAGTAGTTGTGGCACATGGGCTCAGGTAACTGTGTCTCTCAGGCTCTAGAGCACAGGCTCAATAGTTGTGGCACACAGGCTTAGTTGCTCCATGACATGTGGGATCTTCCTGGATCAAGGATCAAACCTGTGTCTCTTGAATTGGCAGGCAGATTCTTTACCACTGAGCCACCAGGGAAGCCCCTCTAGCATCCATTTCTAACTAACTAGGAGTTTATTTAGATAATGTTTTGTTGGGGAACTCAGCGTATCAAATGATTGCTGTTTTAACTTTAAGAATAAAAATAAACACAAGTACAGTGTAATAAATAGGCTTCCCATTTACTACATTCTTTACCACTGAGCTATGTAGTAAATGGCTCAGTGGTAAAGAATCTGCCTGCCAATGCAAGAGCTGGAGGAGACACAGGTTTGATCCCTGGGTTGGGAAGATCCCCTGGAGTAGGAAATGGCAACTCAGTCCATTATTTTTGCCAGGATAATCCCATGGACAGAGGAACCTGACAGGCTACAGTCCATGGGGTTGCAAGGAATCGGACATGACTGAGCATGCATGCATGCACAGTGCAGAAATGCCATCCTGATTATGCTAAAAACCTTTCATGGGAACAGCATCTATCAGAAATGTTTAACACACACAGTATATTGATAAGTCCAGTTCAAGACTTTTAGAGTGTGGTTTTAGATAACTTTGCAGAGAGTTTGCTTTGCAATGTTTTGATTTTAAATAAGTAAACCAGATTTACTTTAAAAGAATTCAGCCTGGATCAAAATCACATTTATGTAAGATGGAGTATGTAAAAAGATTCATCAGGAAGGTTAACACAGTGAGAAGTTTATAAGACTGTGTCTTACCTATCTAATAGTTAAATTAGCTTTTAACAGTTTTAGTGCCAAGGTTTGTGGTTCTGGTGGGGACACCAAGTAGCAGCAATTATTTGCTGTCACAGACTGGAAATCATCTCATTTACTATGTACTTGTTGGATTTTGAGTTTGACTGTATGTAGGAGAAACCCCAGATAACAGATACTTAAACCTGATAGAAGTTGATTTCTGTGCCATGTAATACTCTGCACCAGTGGGGCCACTCTGCTCCATGAGGTCATCAGACTCTGGGCTGTTTCTGTTCTGAACTTCACAGTTCTTGGATCTGGCCATCAGTCTGTGTCCAAGATGGCTGATCACCACAATCCCATTTCAGCTGTCAGAAAGGGAGAAAAAGGGAGGACGTGCTTTTTCCCTTAAAGAGCAGGACCTGGAAGTTAAACACATTCTTTCTGTCCAAACCGCATTGGCCAGAACCGCTATTTGACCACACCTAGCTGTGAGGGGACTGGGGAATGTGGTTTTTATCCTGAGGGTTGTTGTTTTACTGGGCTAAAAATTATCTTCTGGAGGAGAGAAGAAGAGATGATGGGGGCATTTATCTGTCTTTAAACTCGTTGGCACACAAACTGCTTGTTCTTGAATTTTGTACTTGGTTTTTTATACTGTTTCCTCATCTTTCATGTTCTGTTAAAATATCATAATTGCCTTCTGAAAAATCAACATTGCAAAAATACTTGTTTCAGATGGGAATGGGAATAAAGAAATAGGATTTCAAATTCACGATGACAAAATATTTTAATGAATAAATTTAGTAAAGTTTTTAAAAATATCTAAGTATACAACTACTAATTGAACAGATCCAACTTGATTATTTCTAGCTTTTATTCTAGAATAATGGCTTTTCTCATTTACTTACATCGTACCCTGCTTAATATTCACATTTCCATATATTGATAGCTTTCAAAGTTTATTTTTTGTAATATTCAGACATGTAGCAAGGATTGTCTTATTGTTTTGTAGGGAGGTGAGGGTAGGGCAAGAGTGGTGTGCTGGGTATTTTGTTGTTAGTGAAGGTAAGTGTCAGTAGTGGTGTTTTTTTCCTTTCAATTCCTAACTTTGTGATTAGTACATTGAGTGAAGTACAGGAAATATCTGTTCAGACTCTGAAGGATTATTCCTCGCATTGTTGTCTTTGCTATTTTGGGAAGGGATTTTTTTTTTTTTTCTCTAAGTGAAATTGCAGGAAAGAAGTAGATTTTTTAGTAATGGTATTGGAGATTTAAATATCTTCAGGGGAACAGGAGACACACACATTACAGAAAGAAAGAAACTATTCTATATCAGCCAAACCAAAAGTTACAGCTCCTATAATGTATTCAAAATTGAGTCATTTGTAAAAATCCTTAAGCACTTTATCCCATTTCTTTCTTTCATGCTAGTTTTTTTTTTTACCTGCTAAGGATATCAGCTCCTGAACCTGTGAAAAACCATGAGCAACTTTCTATTACAAGTTTTATAGCTGCAAGAGCATTTTTATTCTTGTTGCTTGTTTATCCACCATTCCTCAGGGAGCCTGTATTCCTAAGAGAATTATGAACATTTAACATTTATTTTTTGCTGAGGCTGCATTGAGGCGTATGGGTTGTTTTTATTTAATCTTTAAAAATAGTGACCACCAGCTAGTTATTTTAAATTTTGACATGGTAAAAGAGGAACTGGCAGTAGTGTCTGAACATCTTTTATGAAAGTCTGATTCAGAGTGGACCCTGTTGGGTTTAGGAAATCCATTTTCTTCCTCTGATAGCTTTATCCTCTTTTTCTCCTTCCCCATCCCCTTCTGTAGTAACCTGTCCCATCAGTCATTCTTTCACCTGAACCTGAACCTTCTCAGTTTCCACCAAGTTCCACAGAGCCCACTCCCTGTACCAGCAATTATCTCTTCATTTATTTATTTTTTTTTTAGAGTGTAAAAGTTAATATAAGTGGATACTAAGGTGTGTAGTATGGCACAGAAAACAAGCAGTAATACCTGCTGTTTGTATAGTTATGCAGTGTTCAAGCTCCTATTATACAGTGTAAGTGATAATATTTCTTTAATACCATTGAGGGCATGAGTGCTCAGTTGCTAAGTCTTGTCCAACTATTAGTGACCCCATGGACTGTAGCCCTCCAGGCTCCTCTGACCGTGCCTGGCGGGACCTCTGTGCTAGGCAGGAATACTGGGCTGGGTTGCCATTTCCTCCTCCAGGGGATCTTCCCCCGACCCAGGGGTTGAACCAGTGTCTCCTGTGCCTCCTGCATTAGCAGGTGGATTCTTTACCACTGAGCCACCTGGGAATCCCATTAATACCATTATGAAATAGTTAAATGAATATTTCAATTTAAATTTGTTATTGAAAGAAAAAAGTCTTTCTAAAAAATCACATAAAATGCCCTATACTTTCAGAGTTTTGAATCCATATGAATGTCTAAACTATTCAAGTTTTTTTTTTTTCCATTTATTTTTATTAGTTGGAGGCTAATTACTTTACAATATTGTAGTGGTTTTTGTCATACATTGACATGAATTAGCCATGGATTCTCTTCATTTATAGACTCTACCCTGTCCCCCCTGGCATTTTAGGAGGAAATGCCCAAGAAAATTTTAGTTTTTAGCATCTTCTTTACAACATAAATTAATCTTCCGTCTTCTTTATTCTTTATCACTTTTTTCATGGCTTTTGTCTTTAATCATTTGTTTGTTTTGGGGGAGGTTCTTTGGGTCTTGAATAGGTTCACAGTGAGAAATGAAAAGCAGGTATGGGAAGTGGGAAGGGAGAATCAGCCTAGCAGGGAACCTTTCTGTATCTCCCTTCCCCTGGTTCCTTTTAGCACTCTCTCCTTTTGGAATGCTATCATTTCTTCTGGAGGGTGATGTATTCAAGATGAATCGAGTGCTTTTTCCACAGAAACTTAAAAAAGTTATAGAAGTTGGGTTGATAGTCATATCAATCTTTTATTCAACAAGTATTTACTATTAGTTAATTGTTAATAAATACTTACTAGCTTGGATCCTGTCATCTTGAGTTTTCATTTCCTGCTAAGACCCAGCTGTAAATTATTCAACTATCAGCCCTCTCTCGGGGTTACTGGAGAAAATCACAGAGCTGGAACTTGGTGCCACTAGAAGCTCTGTTCTCCTGTCTCTCTGGACCCTTGGCAGTGCCTGGCACACTCTCATTTCTTTAGTTAACTCCCTCTGCCATTAGAGTTCAGTTCAGTCGCACAGTCATGTCCAGCTCTTTGTGACCTCATGAACTGCAGCAGGCCAGGCCTCCCTGTCCATCACCAGCTGCTGGAGTTTATGCAAACTCCTGTCCATTGAGTTGGTGATGCCATCCAACCATCTCATACTCTGTCGTCCCCTTCTCCTCCTGCCTTCAGTCTTTCCCACCACCAGGGTCTTTTCAGATGAGTCAGTTCTTCTCATCAGGTGGCCAAAGTATTGGAGTTTCAGCTTCAGCATCAGTCCTTCCATTGAACACAGGACTGATTTCCTTTAGGATGTACTGGTTGGATCTCCTTGCAGTCCAAGGGACGCTCAAGAGTCTTCAACACCACAGTTGAAAAGCATCAATTCTTCGGCGCTCAGCTTTCTTTATAGTCCAACTCTCACATCCATACACAACTACTGGAAAAACCACAGCCTTGACTAGACGGACCTTGTTAGCAAAATAATGTCTCTGCTTTTTAATATGCTATCTAGGTTGGTCATAACTGATCTTCCAAGGAGTAAGCATCTTTTCATTTCATGGCTGCAGTCACCATCTGCAGTGATTTGGAGCTCCAAAAAATAAAGTCTGCCACTGTTTCCACTGTTTCCCCATCTATTTGCCATATAGTGACGGGACTGGATGCCATGATCTTAGTTTTCTGAATGTTGAGCTTTAAGCCAACTTTTTCACTCTCTTCTTTCACTTTCATCAAGAGGCTCTTTAGTTCTTCTTCACTTTCTGCCATAAGGGTGGTGTCATCTGCATATCTGAGGTTATTGATATTTCTCCCAGCAATCTTGATTCCAGCTTGTGCTTCTTCCAGCCCAGCGTTTCTCATGATGTACTCTGCATATAAGTTAAATAAGCAGGGTGACAATATACAGCCTTGACGTACTCCTTTTCCTATTTGGAACCAGTCTGTTGTTCCATGTCCAGTTCTAACTGTTGCTTCCTGACCTGCATACAGATTTCTCAAGAGGCAGTTTAGGTGGTCTGGTATTCCCATCTCTTTCAGAATTTTCCATTAGAGTAGCAGATGTTATTAAGTGCTTCCTCTGTGCTAGGAACTAAGAACTTTGCATGTATTAGTATTAATACTAATTGAAAGTAGAAGAGAGGGTGGAAATAGGTTAAAAACCTTTATTTTGACTGCTACTCAGGAAGAAATTTAGAGATCATCAGACCAGAGCCTCTTTGTCTTCTTTCCCGCACCCCACCTCCAGCACTCCTTGAACAACTGTATTTACTTACCCATTCTTATCAGAAGGAGATATCATTAAAGTCCTATACCGCCTTCAATCTTTTCTGCATCCTGACAGACACAGAAAATGATAATATTTGAATAGAGAGGGATTAAAAAGGCTGCTGTCTACTTGAGGTGACTGCTTCAGAGTTTCCAACTCCTCTTAAGCTCTGCCAGGCAGCCTGAAGGTGGAGGATAGCCCTCCAAACCCAGGAAGCACTCAGATCAAGGACACAGACCCTAGTCTCAGTATTGATTGAGCCCTCAGTATTGATTGATTGAGAGGTACCCCTACTCCCAACTCTGACTCTTATTCCTTCTGACCCTTTCAGGAGCTTCAGTCCTTATCATTTAGCTTGTTCCTTGGCGATGTTTGATCCTGTTACCCTTCTGCTTAATAAAGCCCTTCAAAGGCTTTCTCTCTCATTTATAATGAAATCCCTGAACTGTCACGTGGTCTCCAGGACCCTGCAGGATCTGGACCCTGCTGCCTCCCCTACCTCACCACCCCCCTACCAAACCACTCGCCCCACCCCCGACCAGTTGAGCTGGCTCTCAGATGTGTCCCTCTCAAGGTCTTCTCAAGGGATGAACTTAGCACCGCTGCAAGCCCACTGCCTGTCCTGCCGGCTCCTGTGTCATTTTCGAAATATTTAAATATATTTATTTATTTTTTAAAAAAAATCTCAGCTTAAACGTCACTCACTTCCTCAGAGCAGTCTTGTCCAGGTGCCCAGACTAGGTCAGGTCTGGCATGTGGACCTGTCTGTAAGTTTGAGCTGAGCAACATGCCTGCTGAAACCTGTCAGAGCCCTCTTAGCCCCAAATGACTTCTGTGCAGCCCTTATCAAACTGGTGATTAAGTCTTTCATTATGGCATTGTCATTTGGGTATCTCTCTGTGCTGGGGGACTCATGACCGTGACTCTACATTTCGGAACCACATCTGTCCTCTTCTGTCTTGTTCCTCTAAAGTAGTGCTTTGCAGGTTGGAAGTTCTTGATTGTTGTCAGTTGAGTGTTTTTCACTGTCTTTCTAATAGCTCTTTCTCTGTAATATATAATCTTGTCCATCTTCAAGATGTGCCCATCACTCTCCTGGACTCTGTAGCCTCCTGTAGATACTGCTCCATATTTTGTTCACTTTATAACAAAGCATACTGAAAGAAAAAAATCTTGTTAGCCTCACTTCACCGCTGGTCTCTTTAGTACTCTGAATAACTGTTGTCCTCAAGTTCCTTTAATTAGTCCACTACTGGTGATCTAGTTGCCAACTCAGGCAAGCATTTTCTGATTCTGATTTTACGTTTGTGACAGTATGCATTATTCATCGTCTCCTTCTCACTTTCCCTCTTCTCCCCTCTTCCTTCCCCCAGTTCCTTCCTGGCCTCCCTGCTGTGTCCCAGTATCATCCTTTTCCCTTCTACCCATTCTTTAAATGTTAGTTTTCTCCAGGATTCCTTTTTTGGCCGACTCCTCTTTTCACACTGCACTCCCTCTGGTGATATCATTCACACCCCAGCTTTCAGCTCCCACCTCCTACACCAATTGTGAGGATGTATGTGTCGTTCCCAGAGCTTATCTGTCCTGTTGCCTACTCGATTCCTTCCCTCGTTTTGCCTTGTCACACATAGCAGTGCCAGGCAAGTGGCGTCCATCGAATGTTGGCCAAAAGAAGGCTTTAGAGATCATTTTATCCTTAATTCCTGCAGATATGGAAACTGGGGCCCAGAGAAGTGTATAATGGCTTGTGCAGGATCAGCGAGCTAGTTTGGAGGAAAATATAAGTCTTCTGACACCTGGAATCTGAGATCAAACAAGCTGCTTATTCTCTCTGCTTATATTTTGCCCTGTGCATCTTTGGTTTCCAGAGCAGTATGAATTGGCTACCAACAAAATTCTTCCTATTTAGAAATTTTCACTGAATTTCTGTACTTGTGAGAGGACATACTTAGGTTTTTGATTCATTGTTAATTTTATCTGCACCACTGATAAAGAATGCCTGGCACCATGCACTGTTTAATTTAGATTCAGTGAACAGCATAGCTGTTATTACTTACTGCCTAGTTTTAAAAGAAGTCATTCTCATGGATGCTAGAATAAAGGCAGAGTAATTGAATATGCCTAGCTGTTCTTGCAAGAAACTGTTTTCTAATTTTCTAAGGAAAATTAAAGATAAAAATCAGGGAAAAGAAGAAGTTGTAAAGAAAATTATCTTTTTTTCCTTGTATTTTCCCCCGCTAGGCATTTGCAGTTTGAGCCCTAAATTAAAACTATGACATCCATAGTTGGATACATGTAATCCTGTTTTGTGCATATTGGCACTGTTTTATTTACATATATTTCTTTGAATTAATTTGCTTATTTCTGGTTTAGATATTTGTACCTCCTCTTTGATGTCACTTTTCCTTCTTTTAGACAAGGCTATGGTTTTTCCAGTAGTCATGTATCGATGTGAGAGTTGGACTATAAAGAAAGCTGAGCACCGAAGAATTGATGCTTTTGAACTGTGGTGTTGGAGAAGACGCTTGAGAGTTAGATCTTCCCGACCCAGGGATCAAACCCTTGTCTTTTATGTCTCCTGCATTGGCGGACAGGTTCTTTACCTCTGGCTCCACCTGGGAAGACACTTAATGTACTCTCTACTCTTTAAAAAAAAATTTTTTTTTTTAAGAGAACCTACCAACCCAGAATTTTCTAAATCACCCTTTTAAGGGTAAAGCTAATGTTAGGACTTAAGGGTGGGGCTAGGGCTGGGGTGGTGTCAAATAAAACTAGTTTAATGTGTGCCATGTGCCAGGAATTTTTGCATGTATTTTCTCATTCAAGACTCATCATAAGCACTCAAGGTAGGAGTTATTCCAGTTTTACCTATTATGAAACTGAGGCAGAGTTGTTCAGTAACTTGTCAAGGAGCCAGTAAATGGCAGACTGAGGGTCCAAACCCAGGTCCGCCTCATGCCGAACCCTGTGCTTTTTCTACCAGCTAAACCATCTCAGGGCTTCGTTCTCCTCCTGTCCTGGTTAAACATATTTAGGTCATTTGAATAGCAAATTTCTTATTTGCAGACACAGTTTTTCTGATGGACACACAAACATACCTTTTGCATTAGATGAATTACTTTAGCCAGCTGCCCGATGATGTAGTAGACTTAAGAGTTCAGTTTCTCAGTGCATTTCAAGGGTTTCATTCTGTTGCTTTTTATTTGTTTGAACTTGCATGGTGCCTTAGGTGAAATACCATCTGTAAGAAGTCATATATATTTGACCTAGAAAACAGCCAAAACAATTCTATGATTTGAGTTTTGGGAGAAAGCAGTCTGGGCTTATTCTCAAGTTCCTGATGTGGGAAATGTCTAGTTACTGTCCTAAATGAGGTGAGAGGACATCTACCGAGAATGAAAATGTGAATATCCTGAAGTTAAATTCTTTTGAAAATCTTTAGTAAGATTAGCAAAGTTAAAAGAAGAGACAACTAATCTTTGAATATTTTATCACTGATTTTTTCCCCCAACAGGAAAATTATTAAATAGATAAAATAAAAATTCTCATCTTCCAGCAGAACTGTTTTACCAGTTTATTTCTGGCTAGACTATCTTTTCACCCTCCTTCAACATAAAATTAGTCCTCCCTACTTGTAAAAAGACACTTCAGAGAGTTTTAAAAGTAATTTAGGGTTTCACATTCTTCGGAGTCTTTTTGGCCACTTGGAGGGGGAGATAAAGGTCAAAATGCCCTAGATTTGGCTTAAGGGGTAAGGCTATTGTTTTCTGTGATGATGGGCCTTTCTGTGTGTTTGTGAACCTTTATATATTACCTCTGAAAGGAGGATGTTTGGAGGAGGGTGGCTGGTACATATAATTGATTGAATGGAATTGTCATTGTAAGAAGAACATGGTAAAATTTAATAATAGAAAACTTTCTTTGTCTTCTAGCCAGTGTCTCCTGGACATGATCCAAGCCTCTGCCTTTTCAGTTTTGCTAAGATTGACCTCATTCACATTCTTGGCTGCATTTTGGCTCTTTCTCTCTATGTGTGTGCTTATATTCCTAACAGCCATAACCCCAGCCCCACTCCCCATCTCCAGTCATAGCCAACATTTCCCACCTTCCTTGTCAAAGATGTACGTGTAGAGGATAGAGCGGGTTTTAGATACAGGTGTGGATTTGCAGGTGATGACTCCAGAACTTTTCTCTCTCAGGCTCTCATTTCTCTCCCTCCTAATTACTCCTTAACAAAACAGAGAGGCCCCACTCTCCCTTAGCTGAGTATTTAGTAATGATGTGTAATCACTTCTTGCTGACTTTTTTTTTTTAAACTGCACTTGGACATTTTCTCCAGTTGGCTCTCACTTAAAAAATGACTAAACAAGACAATTCACCCAGAGCTCTGTTGCAGGCAGGGTGGTGGTGGTAGTGGTATTTAATGCCTTCTTGACAGTCATGTATGTTTTGGAGTGAGTCACAGAAGTTGTTTATCTCATGCTATTCATTTTATGAACAATAGGTTAGTTTTATACTTCTATTGCATCTGATATAGGGGGACCACCTACAAATGAACAATGGACAAAGAACACTAAGAGAAGACCACAGACCTAGATTCTAGTCTAGCTGTATATCCTTATACGAGACATTTATCTTTTCATGCCTCAGTTTCTTGTTCTGTCATAAAGGTAACACCTTTCCTGTTTACCGAAGAGGACTCTGGCAGATTAAATGAATTGTCAGAAGATTTTGAAAATTTAGAATGATGGCCTTATTATATAGAGGCATTTAATGAAGAGGGAAGTAAATTGATGACCCATGAGATAAATATCAGTCCTAAATTTCAAGTGTCTGAGGATCCCATGTTGATCCTTCTGTCTGCCTGGGCCTGCAGGAGCAGCAGTAAGGCCATTTTCCTTCCTGGTTCATGGGAGATTGACTTTACAGCTTTACACATCTGCCTGTTGCTCCAGGAATGTCGTTCTCTTCCACAGTTGAGAGTTTGAGAAGTTGTGTCTTCACCTTCAGTGTCTGTCTGTCTGTCATCATTCAAGACCCAGTCCAAGAGAAACTTCTGTGAAGTCGTCCCAATCTTTCTAAAGCTGAATTTGGAACTTCTTTCTGAAAATGAATGCAGTGTTGTGTTTAAGAAAGTGGCTCCTGGAGCCAAGTCTCTCTGAGTTCAGGTCCTGATCCTAGCACTTACTAGATATGATTGTGCGAAAGTTGCTTAAACTTCCTGTGTCTCAGTATCTTCACCTATAACATAGGGAATGATGGTGATAGCAGCTGATAAAACTGCCTGAGCCTCTTCTAACAGAGCCTGATATATAGTAAGCCCTTGATGAGTGTTGTTGCTATGTACTTACTCTTACTGTATATTATAATTATCTTTTATCACCATTATTTCCTTCATACTCATGTAGAACTTTGTACTAATCTCTAGTGTCTTCCTTGTCACTTTTATTGTAATTATTTATTTAGACCTGGAACTTCTTTTTTTTTTTTCCTTTATTTTTTTTTTTTTTGGTTGGTTGGGTTTTTGTTTGCGGCCTTTGAATTTTTTGTTTTTTGTTTGGGGCTTTTGGGTTTTATTTCCTTGCCCGGGGTTTAGGCTTGGGCCCCTTGCTTTGGGGTTTTGGCCCCCCGGGGAGTTCCTTGGCCTTGGACTTTTTTGAGGTTTTGGAACTTTTTTTTTTCGGTTTTGTTTACCCTTTTTTTTCCCCCTTTCGTTGTTCAAAATTTTTTTTTTTACAGAATCTTCCAGATCCCCCAGCTGTTACCCTCTCTGACTGACTAGCTGTGACTTTGAGGCTGGGCTGCATGGCACATCCCTTTTTACTTCCTTTGGAGCAGAAAGAGATTATGGCTGGAGCTGCAATTCTTGCTCTCTGTCCAACAACACCCTGTATACATCTGACTTGGTGGCCCTCCAGAATTTCTCAGACCCTGTGTTTATTTAGCACCTCATTGCTCAGGGTGCTGCCCAGGGTCATCCGTGAGAACTACTTAGCATTGTTCTGCTCTCTCTGGGAGACGAGAATCATAAAGGAACTGCCAAACATGGCCATACCCACACAGCGGAGGAAAACCAGTGAACCACTAAGTGACTGCATCTTTACGAGTTCAGGTCCTAGTTCTGATATTAGAAAGCCCAGACGCAAACCGCATGCCACCGCTCTGTCCAACTTTCCTTTCCCTCCCCAAGCGGAGAACACAACCCTCCTCTTTCCACAGCCCACCGCACACTGTGGAGAATTGGTGATGCCCGTCTGCTCTGTCTCCTCTTTGGACACAGTTGCTCACCGTAGCCCCTGCCTAGCCAGTAGGGTAGGCCTTCAGTGAATGTTTGCGGCTGTTGGAATTGTCAGTTACCGAGAGCTCATACTGAGTACTTTTAATCACAGATAAAAACTTTGCAAGGTAGGTATTATTCTTCCCCACTTTGCAGACATGGAAATCGAGACTCATCAAGAGGTTAAGCGAAACTTGTCTGGAGTCAGATAGCCAGGAAGTGGTGAGGCTGTGCTGCAGGTGCGGCTGTGTCTAGCTCGTAGGTTCTGACCGCAGCGTGGTGCCGCCCCACCAGTGTAAACATACACTCCCCTCCAACAGCTAACTGACTTGTGGGACGATTCCTCCTATCACTGACCTTGAAGAGGCTGGGTTGGCTGGCAGGCTCACACCCGCCTCCTCTCAGGCCCTGTCGGTCTGCCTGGAGGTGATTTGTGGGCTGCCCATGCCAAGCCACTTGCATTGATCCCAGGTGGCAAGCAGAGAAGTTGGGAACATATTATTTCCTTTCTCTCCCACCCCTGACACCCATAGGGGTGTCAGTGTTTCCATAGGTCTAGTGTTGACTCAAGACTGTGGTGGTGCTGAAGCATCTAGACAGTCTTGGGTCACTGTCTCATCAGGCCCGGTGCCTTCATACCTCTAGACCCCAGGAAGTGGCTACTCTTCTGAGTGTTCATGGCAGTGGAGAAATATTAATACGTTACCCCAGTAGGAGGGGAAGGCTAATCCTCCCTATATTTGTTCAGTACTTAAAAAACTCGAACAACAGGTTTAACTTAGCTTTGTGCCATTTTAATGCAAATTTTATACAGGTATAGTCATGGCACTCCTTTTTGCTCCGTTTGCCAGATGGCCAAAAATCTGTTGTAAGAATGCCTGTGATGTGACTTAGTGTCTGTGATCTCCCCAGGCTCCATGCTCTCCCTTGAGGCCGTGTTGCTGAGACAGCCTTCTCCTCACTCACCCTCCTCACAGTGTCAGTGAAACCGCCCAGCACGCTCCAGAGTTCTTTAGTGCAGCCATTGGCAAACGTCCTGATCTTTAAGACTCATTGGAAGGCGCTTGTTAGGAACTCAGGTATCTGGGTCTTAATCCAGACTTAGTGAATCAGAATCTTCAAGGGAAGGGCCTGGAAATTTGTATTTTTACACGGTCCTCGGGTGATTCTTAAAAACTGAAAAAGTTTAGCAAGCATTGCTTTAGTGCACCCAGAAGTGCTTAGCAGCAGGTGGTGAGCGTGATAAGAGCACAGACTGGAGGGGGCAGTGACAGCAATATGGATGACAAATTCAGTTACGTGGGATAACTGAATTCCTTCTGTCTGGTCTTGCTCTCTGGCTGTCGGATACATCACTATCTGGTAGAGTGCCTTCTGCTTTAGTGCCCAGTGATTTATGTATTATTTATTCCTCTTTTGCTTTTCTGGCCAGCTTTGAGGTCTAGCTGTCAAGCTTCAGTGAACTTTTTGGTTCACTAAATTTCTCTCCCTGGGCACTTCAGCTCCTCCTAAACGCAAAGACCTCTTTTTCTCCCATTTCCAGTTTTCCACCCAAGCACGTGTGTCTCTGATTTATTATTCCCTCGGTGCCTTCATTTTACCAGTTCATTCAGTCACTCCTTCAACAAGTGTCTGTTGTGCCAGGCTGTGGGCAGGCTGAAGAGATGAACAAGACACAGTCTCTGCCCTCCAGTGCACCGTCTAGTAGGGACACAGATGTGTGAACAAAGTACCGGTGATGTGCTGGGTGCTGTCACAGACGTGTGTGCAGAGCTGAAGGGGGTGCCGGAGGAAGTGGCTAACACATGGTGGCAGGTGTCACAGAGGAGGTGACTTTCGAGTAGGTCTTGTACCCAGAGAAGAGGAACGGGGAATTTGTAAGTGATATCACCGGGGTTCTCACTTCTCTCTGCAGTGTGTCTTCTCCTAGGGCTCTTCAGGGTCTTTTCTTGTTTATGGAACAAATGGAGCTAATTGGCATGGCTGAATTAGACTCTCTTGATTGACTTTTTTTACAACTCGAGATGGTTGGTAGTTGATTCATGTCCAAGATACCAAGTCTGTCAATTACTGACAGTGAATGGTTGGCAGTCAAAGCACTGAAGAAAGCTTTTAAAGACTTTTTACTTTATCAGATTTGTTCTGAGGCAGCAGAAGAGGTCTTTGTGCTCGTGAGGGAGTGACATGTGCAAGTCAGTGAGTGAGTGAGTGAGAGAGAGAGTGTGTGTGTAGGGAGATTGGAGAGCTTGAGAGTGCAGAATAGGACAGAATGCTTGTTTCTTTTTCAATGAAAGACACGATTTCCTTGGTGGGCTCCTACATCCCTGCTAGTTTTGTGTATTGTTAGAAATGACCTAAAGTTTTCAGTTTGCTAATTTGACAAGGCTTGGTTCTTATTAACAAAAATGCACCATGGGTTTCTCTTATTTCATTAGGAAAGCAGAGATGAAGGGCCATTGGGGTTAAATTTGTACAGTCTAGTAAGCAGTCATGATTGCAATTTTAAAATCTTTATCGTTTCTTGAAATAATGGGTGCTCATTGTAGAAAAATTATAAAAGGCAGGCAAGCAAAATTGACAAAAAGCTGAAACCAATTTGTAATCTTACAAGTATTAGCTAACCACTGTTAACATTTTGGTGTTTAAAATTTAGATTTTCTTTTTCTGTGTATACCTGTATGTACAAAAATATTTTTAGTCCCAAAATTGAATATGCTGCATAAACTGTTTAGTTCCTTTTTTTCTGTTATAATGTGACCATCTTATCATGTTAACAAATACATACCTACCGAACCATTCTTTTTTTTTTTTTTTAAAGAAGCTGAACAGGCTCTTTTTCTCTTTCTAAATTGTGTTTATTTACTTATTGACTGCTGGGTCTTCATTGCTGCACATAGGCTTTCTCTAGTTGGGGTGAGCGGGCTTCCCGTTGCAGTGGTTTCTCTTGTTGCAGAGCATGGACTCTAGGCCCATGGGCTTAGTAGTTGTGGAGCATGGGCTTAGTTGCTCCAAGTCTTATGGAATCTTCCTGGACCAGGGACTGAACCTATGTCCCCTGCATTGGCAGATGGATTCTTACCCACTAGACCACCAGGGAAGCCCAGAACCCTTCATTCCCCCCCCCTTTTTTTTTTTAAAAATATTTGTTTCACTTATTATTTGGCTTTGCTGGGTCTTAGTTGCAGTATGCAGACTCCTAGTTACAGCATGTGGGATCTTAGTTCCCTGACCAGGGATCAAGCCTGGGCCCCATGCACTAGAAGCTCAGAGCCTTAATCACTGGACCACCAGGAAAGTCCTGAACCCTTTGTTCTTCAGGAAAAAAAAACTTTATTGAGATTATAGAAGTCATTCATGCTTTTTTTGGAAAAACATTGTTAAAGTATATATGCTCTTCTAGACTATTTTCTTTATATATGCAAACATGTTGCTTTTTAAAAAAGAATTAGACCTATTATACCTACTCTTCTGCAGCTCACCTTTTATCCTTAATATATTTTAGACAGCTTCCTGTGGCAGTACATTTGGAATACCTGCAAAATTTTCTGTAGATCAAGGTTTCTCATCCTCAGTGCAACTGACATGTTGGACTGGCTAATTCTTTGTTGTGGACTTGTCCTGTGCATTTGCAGGATTTTAGCAGCATCTGGCCTATATCTTCTAAATGCCATAACACCCCATCCTCTAGTTGTGACAAAAATGTCTCCATTGCTGCACGTCAGCTTTCTCTAGTTGGGGTGAGCTGGCTTCCCATTGCAATGGTTTCTCTTGTTGCAGAGCATGGATTCTAGGCACATGGGCTCAGTAGTTGTGGCGCATGGACTTAGTTGCTCCAGGCGTTGTGGGGTCTTCCTGGACCAAGGATTGAACCCGTGTTTAATCATTGTCAGTTGTCCCCTCAAGGGTAGAGCCATTCCAATTTGAAAGCCACTGATACACATGGTCTATGAGATAAGTGTCTAGAGTCCTTCCAGTGTTTTCATTCAAAGAATAACTTAGGGAATATTCTTATGTTGATTTTTATACACCTCTGTGAATTTTATCATTGAATAAATTCCTAGAAGTGCAGTTGATGAATCTGAATTTTGTTAGAAATCACATTTCTCTAGAGATTGTATTATTTTTCATCTATATCCTTATAGTTCCAAATCTGTATCTCTTTCCAAAATTCTAGATTCATATAGCCAACTGTTGATTGAACATCTTCTCTTGCGTGTCTCATAGACTTTTCCTAATAAGCTCAACTCTTATCTTCTTCAACCCAGTTCTTGGGGTATATCTCTGTCAGAGAATATCATGACCATCTGCCTGGTTGCTCAAGCCAGAAATCTCCATCCTACACTGAATCAGTCATCAAATCCTACTCAGTGTTCCTACTCAGTAGCGTCTCTCTTAATCCAGTCACTTCTTTTCATCCCTTCTACCTCTATCTTTGATTTAAGCTACTAGTATCTTGCCCAGATCACTATAGTAGCAGCAGGGCAAGCACTTCTCTCTCTGGCTTCTACCTGTGGTTCCACATTCCTCAGAAAAAGTGAACTTGCTGCACTCTATGATCTGTGAGTGTTATTTCTCCACTGAAGCTGTTCAGTGAGCCCTGCTTCATCTCCACCATCTGCTCCATCAGTCAAATGCTGAGACCAACATATCTGACGTTCCATCACCCATGAGTTCAAATCTCTGTATCCATCAGTATGGGCTTCCTCCCCCACCATCACATGTATTTATTCACCGGATATATTTATTCCCCCAGCTTTGAATTACTCACTGTCCCTTGAATGTCCCTTTGTTCTCCTGCTGATTTCCTGGTCCTTTTAACCCTGCTCTCTGCCCATCCATTTTCTACCCTTTCTTTAGGACGAAGCAGATTCTTGAAGTCTTCAGCGCCATAGTTTCTCCTCTGTTAATCAGTTTAATCCTTACTGCATTTATCATGTATGTACTTTCCTGTGTGCTTCACATATACTTTTCCATTTAACCTTGTGAAAAAGACATACACATATATCAAAAATACAAACCAGTGAACCAAGTGGAGAAGATGTGGGAATTCCAGCTCTGGGTTCCAGTACAGGTCCTAGGGTGCAGAAGGGCCTTCCAGAAATCCCATCCCGGTGCCTGAACCTTGACTTCTCCCCTTAACGTCTCTAGACTTGTGATTTTATGTGGTTCTGTATAGCTATGTAATTGAATACTTCTCCAGTCAGTTGCATTCATTTGGTCAGAGTGAAACCTTGGAGAGAAAGGAGATCGTTTGTCTGCTAGCCTTGGCGCATTCCATTTTAGTATATCTTAAATGCCATGGAAACAAGGGGTGCCTAGGAACTTGGGGATCTCTGACATGGAATGTAGCACATTGCGCCGCTAGATTGGTGTAGGGAGGGACCAGCCCTGCAATTTTCCACAAGAAGTCAGCTCCAAGCCTGTGGGAAATCACACATAGCAAAATCCTTGGCAAAGAACCATACATTTTTTTCCCTACTCTCTATGTGGTAATTCTGTAACACTCTGTAATTAATTTTATTTTTACAGTGAACAACCACAGAGTAAGAATAATGAGTAACCTATTTCTGTTCTTGCTATTTTAGGGGACATCACACAGAAGGGTTATGAAAAGAAAAGGTCAAAACTCCTGTCTCCTTACATCCCGCAGACACAAGGTAGGTAATGAGAAGTGGTTTTAAACCTTCTCAGTATTTTTACACTAATGAATGCTATCTTACTGGAGATCTGTCTTTTTTGTTGGTTCCTGTTTTTTCCCTTCCTTCCTCACCAGGGAAGGGGGAAAAGAAAACAGAAGGAAAGAAAGGAGGAAATGAATCTTAATTGAGCATCTGCTGCGTGGTAGGCACTTTAAAAATACCCAGGGCCATCAAATCATTCATACAGAACTTGGGTGGTAGTCACTGTGTCTGTGTGTCGCTGACATGATTCAATGGTAGAAGATTCTAGGTCATAGAAAAACTGCATCTAGTGCTTGAGTATGAACTGTGATGGAGAGAAGCAAGGGAGGCAAAGATAAGAAGGAGGGACAGATTCAGTATTGCAGGACAACCCAAAGATTGCAGTACCTGGGGATTTGGGGATAAGAACCCGAAGTAAACCTTTTTGCAGCCTGACTTGTGCAGAAAGACTGGCATGTTCTTTATATATCAGAAAGTCCTGAGTCACTTTTGTGCTTATTTCCAGACGGGTTGCTGGAACCTTTGCCTCTAGGCAAGTCTGTCTGTTTCTAAGTCATCATATTTTTGAAGTTACTCAGCATCCAGGATTTCCTCTGATGGCCTGTTTCTACTTTAATCACTTTTACTATGAAGAATTTTTTCTTTATTTCTCATTTCCCCTCTGCAATCAGAGTCTGTTTTCACATGACTGTTTTTTGTGGAACTAATAATCATTGCTTTTATTTCTGGATTATAAATCCCTTGAGGACTTTGGAGCCTCCATGGTTCTAATGTTAAGCCTTGCACAGAGTATATAGTTTGTAAATATCTGTTGAATGAATAGTGGAATAAATAAATGAATAATGGTGGTATACCAATAGATTTCACCAAAGTCCTTGTTTTATTTGCTGCATTATTCTTGGGAATTCCTCCCTGTAAAAACTAGTAGGTCAATGCCTAGATAGCCAGTTTAAAGTATCTTAATGAACAGATGAATGTAGAAATGAATTGAGAGAAAAGAGGTAGAAATCAGGCCGGCGACAGCTAATGAAAAGCCAGCTTTTGCTGAGCAAGGCATGGCACAGAAGGGGAGTCCTCTGATTGGCTGCTTAATTATGGATCTGGCCCATGCCTCTGTAGGCCCAGAGATTTACTGTAGTCACTTTGTGCAAAAGCAATCAGATCCTGAGAAAATAACACAGTAAGGAATGTAACTATAAAAAGGACCATGCTCTGTCTGCTCCCTGTAGTCAGGTTATATAGAAACTTAATCATGTTCCAAAACCAGTTTATCAATTTACTATGAGAAACCACTGAGGTACACTCTAGTCTGTGTGGTCAGCACATTCTTGCCCCACGGGCAGGCCTACATGGGGAGCTTGATCACATATAGAAGGTTGGTAAGTGAGCATGGATTTGACGAATCAGACATTTAATTAAAGGAGGCCAAGGGAGTGTGACATGGCATCTCACAGTAGGGATGGTTCTGCACGTGACCTCATGGGGGAAATAGAAGTCATTTGATGGCAGCTCTTTCAGCTTCCTGCTATCAGAACTTCAAACTCACCATATTAGTGCCCATCATGTTTATGACCTCCTGCCTTCTGGTTGAAAAGGTGATCTCTCTGTCCTAGCCAAGGGCAGTCCTTCCACCAGTGCTTTGGGTCCTATCCCCTCCTCCCTTTTCAGAAATCTTATACTATCACCCAGTGACACCAAGGACAGGGCGGTGAGAGTGAGCCACCCTGGTGCAAGCAATGAGGGGTGCAGTATCTGTAGAAATTTGAAAAGCGGTAATAAAGCCAACACAGAGTTGGTCTGCTTTTTGTTATCACCATGGATAGCAATTCTAAATGCTCTAAGTAGTAAGTCCGTCGTCCGCCACCCCCGGACGGCTGCATTGCCCTCTTGATGTGCCGCTGCAGTCCCCTCCCCGACACTCCTGTGCAGTCACCCTCTCCCTCTGAGCCAGATTCTTACCCCAGCAGATCAGCATGCTCATTCCTCTTCCTTTTAAAAAAATCCTCCTTAGTCTACCACTTCCAGCTTTATCCTATCTCTCCTTTATGATCAGACTGCTGAGAACTGTCTCTGCTTATTATCCCTGTTTCCTCAGCACCTGTTCACTGCTCAGCCTGTCCCAGTCCCTTGCCACTCTACTTCTTGAAACACTTCTTTAGAAACAGTCTCCGCATTTTCTCACTCCCCTCTTCTGTTGCTCCTAGTCATCTTTGCCGGCTCCTCCTCTTCTGTTAAATCTTGGAATTCTCAAGGCAAAACCTCAAGCCCTCTTGACATCTCACTCTACAGCAGTGGTTCTCAAATTTTAGCCTGCATTGGGATCACTGGAGAACTTCTTGTATATACAGATTGCAGGACCCTGTCCCTTCTCAGCGTTTCTGATTCAGTTGGTCCAGGTTGAGGTTTGAGAATTTGCATTTGTGTCAGGTTCCCAGGTGATGCTGCAGTTGCTGGTATGGAGAAACAATGCTCTGTCTCTCTAGAGCTTTTCAGCCATCCCTGTGGCTTTAATTATCATTTATAGGTAACTCCCAAATATGTGTCTTCAACTCAGATCTCTCCTGGGCTCCTGATCATAGATCCAACTACATTTTTAACAACTCCATTTATATATCTTAAAGGAACTTTGATTTCAACCTATCCAAACATATCCATTAAATGTTAGGTATGATTTATGCTCACACCACCTGTACCACCAGCACCTTCCCCTCCCTATATGTGTACATTCACACAAAATTATTAATACATTATCCATCGTCTCCCAGACTTCTAGTTTCCACTTCTGAGTGAATAGAACTCCCATGCATAAGCCCAACAACTAGGCTTAAAAGTCATCTCAGCAGTCTCTTCATTCCCCATCTCTTGCCTGTTACCAAGTTACATTTTCCGCTTCTTCATGAGTCAGTTTTTGTAAGTTTAATTTTTCTAGGAATTTGTCTGTTTTGTATAAGTTTTCAAATTTATTGTTAATGACAGTATTCTCTTTATTTTTAAAGCCTTTGCTTTGTTTGTGTGTAACTCTTATCTCTTCTCTTTTTTCTTTTGATCAGTCTTCCCAGAGGTTTGTCGTTTCAAAGAACAAGCTTTTAATTTTGTTGATCTTCTTTTTAGTGTGTCTTTATTTTCTCATTTATCATTTTCGGCTTCTGTATGTTTTTCCTTCCTTGCATTCCTTTTCTAAGTTTCCTGAGTCAGATGCTTAGATTTTCAGTTTTCTTTACAAAGGTGAGTGTTTCTCCATTTGACTGTGGTCAGAGAACAGCCTGTTCAAAATCAAGTCACAATTAGAACCTTAATTCTCCTCCCAAACAACACGAGGACTTTAAGAAATGCATTTTTAGTACCTCCTTGTCTACATACCCCCTCAATTATTAGTTATTATTGTTCTGTGTAGTTAATAATAGTTAATATCTGTTTCTTTGTTCACTATTGCTTTACATATATGACTCTTTCCTCTCAGTTCAATTGCCTTCTTCCTGAAGTTTATCTTTTAATAGTTACATATTTTAATGAGAGTTTCTTAGTGGTAAAAAATTCTCTCAATTTACACTTGTCACTTTTCCCACCTTTGTTCTTAAACCTATTAATCTTTCCCAGAAATGGATTGTTTGTAGGGCTGGTTATGTTATACAGGTTCTGTAGCAAAAGAAAAGATTACCCTTCGACATTTTTACCTCATATATCTTTGTAGATTTTGAAGGAGATATTTAGATTTTGTTTTTTTTTTTAATGACGTTGGATTTAATGAAGATTTTATGCCTGTATGCATGCATGCATTCTCAGTTATGTCCAACTCTCTACAACCCTATGGACTGTAGCCTACCATGCTCCTCTGTCCATGGGATTCTCCTGGCAAGAATACTGGAGTGGGTAACCATTTGCTACCCCAGGATATCTTCCCGAGCCAGGGATTGAACCTGAGTCTCCTGCGTTGCATGTAGATGCTTTACTGCTGAGCCTCTGGGAAGCCCAGATTTTAAGCTTACTGAATAGAATTAAATGAAAGTCAGTTTAACGCTTTTAGTAGGAGTTTGCTACTTCTTACTTCTAGAGGGATTCAACTTCTTTCAAACTGTCATCTTGTTGGATTTCATTGTTTCCAGTTGTGAGATGCTCCATTGAGGGTAGCTCTTTGAGTATAGTGTATAAAAGTAACATTCTCCACCAATCTCTCTTGAAAGAAAAAATTAATACTGCATGCAACATTGTACTGCTAGAACAATTACATGCACATGCTTATCTAAAAATTTAGTGAGTGATTTTTCTGTACAGAATTGATCTGGAGTTATCTTGGGGTGCATATTTATGTATATTTTAGATTTTTTTTTCAAATGTTACATAAATCTTTAAAATAGGACTTCAGGAAAAAAACAATTTAATAGGACAAATGGGGAAATAGGGATGAGAACACAAGGTTGAAGAAAATACTTAGTGGAAATTGAGTAAGGACAGTTTGGGGTAATAAACAAAGCTTAATTCACTATCACCACAGGGATAGATTTTAAACTTACTATATGACAAAAATCTGATGTGTCAAAACTACCCTTGAAAGTCACTTAAACCCACCAACTTTG